CACCTAGCGAGCAATTAATTAACCAGCAACTGACGGTCCCCTGTTTCAGACTACGACCAAAAAATTGATACAAAGAAAGTGTAACGATCAACAACAGCTAAAGGTGGGCTGGAAGTGGAAAACGTCATGACGTCACGAATGACACAGTCAAAATTACAGAAATCTACCTTATCATTTTTTTTTTGTTTCAATCTTTCAATAGAAAACTATGTTCGGTTTTGTAATAAATTAAAAATAAAACAATATTTTTGCAATATTTTTGTTATAAAGATTTAACTATAAAATCTTTGAACATTTTATATAATTTTTAAATTAACGTTGGCACGCCTGATTTTTGACATTGGTATTAATGTGACTAGTGGTAGCAATGTATTTTGACGGTGTAACAATAACAAATACTATCTTAAGCTTATTACATTTCTGATCTTAGCTGTAGAATAAATAAACGGAATGGCTGCTAAAAGTGAGATAACACAGTGTGTTTTATGTAATATTTATTAACGATAACATTTACAGATTGGAACTACGTTTCTGCACCGCCAGAGAACGACGAGCAGCAGAGGGTGCGTTTCCAAATTGAATTAGAGTTTGTGCAGTGCCTGGGAAACCCCAACTACTTAAACTGTAAGTTAACTACTCTACTACTAGAGTAGCGATACGTATTTGTATACTTAATAAAATGATTGTAGTTTTAGCGCAGAGAGGTTACTTCAAAGATAATGCTTTCATCAACTACCTGAAGTATTTGCTTTATTGGAAGGAGCCTCAGTACGCAAAGTATCTGAAGTATCCTATGTGCTTGTATTTTCTGGACCTGCTTCAGTACGAGCATTTCCGAAGGGAATTAGTCAACGCACAGTGCTCGAAATTCATTGATGACCAACAGATATTGCTGTGGCAGCATTACACACGGAGGAGGAGTAGATTGTCGCAAGCTCCAAATGCCAATGGACAGCCCGAACCAAGTTCAAATACACCTAGCAATAGTCAGAATGGTCACATGAATACCAAAATAGCTTAATTTATTATTTATTTATATAAATTGTTTTCTTTACGCTACAGTTTTTTTTTTATAATTAAATATATATTTAAACATTTGATATTATATCAAATTTAATTTATTATTTTCATATTTATCTTTTTCCAGAACGTTCTTTATATATTTGAGTGAAAGTAGATTTATTAATTTATAAATAATATATTAATTTATATATCTGTAAACAATAATTAATAGTGAATTGGCTGAGCTGTGGCTTCTTCGGCGAGTTTTTCAGCTTCCCTTTCTGCGGCGATTCTGGCGTGATCGGCGGCGATCTGCACGAACAGGTTGTGGTGTTTGTCGGACGCCCTTTGAACTGCAGCAGTGTTGAGAGGAACGATAACCTGACCAGGTACGACCCTGTGGGCTTCGGCGATGGCGTTGTATCTGTTCAGGTGTGCTTCCTTGGCATGAGCCACGGCAGCTGAGTCGCGAGGAATGGCAATGTATCCGGCCTGATGATTGGCTGCGATCGTGTTGAACTGCTGGAGATGCTTCTCCTTCGCAGCGGATACAGCGGCAGAGTCTTTAGGAAGATCGGACGGAACCGGGTTGATGAGCGTCGGATGGAATCCGTTCTTGTCGGCGATGTATTCGACAGTGCGGATTTTGTGAGAAGGATCCACGTACGAATACGCACCTAAAACACACATTAAATATTAATATATTTAATCGAAAACGTGTAAAAAAAAGTTAAATGTCAAGGTCGAAAATTTAGTTATACCTTGGATGGTATGACCATCGCTGATTTCGGTATGGGTCCTATCGATATGTCCTGGGAATCGTCCAGCAGCATAACCGAACGCATAAGGTTTAGGTGGAGGAGCCGGTGTCGTCGGTTCCTCCAGGATGTGGATCACGTCGCAAAAGGCGACGCCGAAAAACGCCAAAAATATCAAAGTCTGCAAGCAGAAAATCAGAACAACATATGTAAAACTTTCTACATTGTTACAATTATAAATAATCAATTAACATTGCAATACTTACAGTCTTCATGACTTTAGCTAATACCAAAGTATTAATTTAATTTTTCGAGATGTGAACGTTTCGAAGATTTTATTGGAACTGCTTGGTTTTCGTATGCGATGCCGAAAGAGAAAGTACTCAAATATACACGTAATAGATGCAGTGTTCCAATTAAATTGTTGCTCATGTGAAAGCCGCAAACGTTCTCTTCGTGTTTGCATGGGCTGCTGTGAAGATGATCATCCTTTGGAAATAGATGTCCTGGCCTTCGGGCGCATTGTTTTGCCGCATTTGATCAATCAATTTATTACCTCTTTGTTTTTTTTTTTTTTGAAAAATATTCAATGAAAACTGGGTATATTTTGCAAATTCGAAATAATTATATAATATATGTATCGATTGATTTGTTGTTATTTTTTTTTATGATGAAGAAAATGAAATTAAGAAGGCGTAACAAACGAACGCGTATTTTGCAATACGAAATAGTTGTATATGAATTAGTGCAAGGCCAAAACTGGAATGAATTAAGTGGAGAAAACTTTCAAATCGATTATTGCTATGTGCGGAATTCGGGCATTTCAATTTCGGTAAATGTGATTAACTGAGAACTTGGAATTTCCATTCCATGAACATTCTTTAAGACAGATTAATAATTTTACTGATTTTTTTATAATTAATTGCAATAATATAATTATTATTGACCATAGATCTTTCTGAACATAATTTTATTTATTTTTTTATTGAAATTGCTATAAATGTTGTTGTTAGTTAATTGTGGAAAAACTTGTTATATTATTCTTTTATTTTGTGTTTACGTTATTTCCAGCAAAAATGTTGTTTTCAAGAAAAAAAAATTTTTAATTTTAATTAATGGAAATTAAAATCTTTATTTGATTAGCAAATTTTTATTATTAAATGTCTCTATGTTCTTTTAAAATATTAATTTTAAAAAGAATATGATTTAAGTACACTAGGTCCTCTTTTTATGCGGTTTTGAAGTTATGCGGTTTTTATTTCAATAAGCATTTTTGTTAAATAACTATTTTAGGCCATTTTGACACGTTTTGACACAAATTGGTAAAACAATTTCATCGAAAAAGATGATAATTCTGAACGAGCATTCAAATTTCAACGCGAGCTTCAGAATTACAAAGCCAAAGCAAAGTTTAATCACTGATTATATTGTCAAAAGGGAAAAAATCAACAAGCAAAGTTGAGACTAATTTTACTTGTGAAGAATCATTATCTTCAGCACATAGATCTGATATTCTGACTATCTCTTCTAGTGATGAAAGTGATTTCGAACCAGTTCGCAAATTATGCCGAACACTCTCATATAACTCATATAATTCTAAAGAAAAAATAATGTGAAGAAAGATTAACTTTCATAAAAAATTTCTGTATGTTTTTTTTTTGTAAAATTTTTCAGTATAAATTTAGAAGGAATATGTTAAGATTATATTTTTCTGAAATTTAATAAACTTTTTTTATGCGATTTTCCGTATATTGTAACTCATTGATTTAGTTTTATGCGGTTTTAAAAAGTTATGGAACGTATCCTTTATTTTTATACGTGTGTCTAGTCCTTTTTTTATGCGATTTATTTTTATGCGTTTTTCTGTGGAACGTATCTATCGCATAAAAAGAGAACCAAGTGTATATAAAGTTTATAAAATAAATTAACAAATATAAAACTTACAATTTGCTTTATCAATTAATTATAAATAAATAATAATTGGTATGATTAATTTAATAAATTAATACACATCAGATATTGATTTTCAGTTTCCAATTTGAACTTGATACTTATATAATGAGTAATCTAAGTAATATCACTTATTTATTAGTCACAAGTAATTTTGTAATTAATAAAATAGGAAAGACTGGAAACTTTAGAAGATACGTCGAGAAATATAATTTAACTAGAAGGATCATATTTAAACCGCATGTAGCCTTCTCCAAGCAGATTGGATTACTGAAAGCGAGCAATTAAAGCAAGAGTTTAGAAGAATATTCCGCAGTCCGGTTGGAAACATGGACCAATTAATAATAGGAGACGTCGAAAAAGAGTACGTGAAATGTCCAGAGTTACAAAAAGAGGATGTTACGAAAATTTTGGAATGGATGGAAACGCAACCGCATCTCCCAAAAATGACGGGTAATCAACAACTTCTTTTCTAAACGCTTTGATACAAATTAATAACATATTTTCAGAAATGCAAGCAGTTCTCTTCTTGCACAGCAATTACTTCGACTCGGAAAAGTCAAAACGATGCATAGAAAACTTCTTCACGACTCGTTCCCGCTGTCCCGAATTCTTTGCAAATCTCAATCCGAAAGAAATGGATTTCGATACGTAAATGTCTATGACGTAAATGTCTATAAACTTTTAGCGTTATATTTCTGGATGATTCTAGGATGCTTTACAGTGAATTACCGAAACGCACGCCCGAAGGATACAAAATCGTTTATGCGAAGATTATGGACCCGGATCCGGATCGTTACACCTTTCCGATGCAAATCAAATTCTTCGATATGGTCTCAATGTTGATGCTCAATCGAGACGGAACTTCGGAAGGTCAAGTGGTTGTTCACGATTTGGATGGAATTACGTTCTCGCATGTGGCTAAAATGAATTTCGTGCAATTGCGGAAATTCTTTTTCTATCTGCAAGTGAGGTTTTTCTTTTTCTTGAAACGACTTTCTCTCAAAATTGACGATTATTATTATCCAGGAATCCATGCCGGTGAGGATAAGGGGAATGCATTTCATCAATCTCGGAACGGTCGTGGAGAAGATCATGTCTCTGATCAAACCATTCATGCGAAAAGATCTCGTTAAAATTGTAATTTTTTCTTTTTCAACATTTACTTTTAGATGTAAAGAGTGTTTTGTTACAGCTTTACACTCATGCAGACGTCGAGGGTTTATTGAAATACATTCCTAAAGAGTGTCTTCCCAATAATTTGGGTGGCGAAGCGGGAGATGTTTCTGACATTCTACGTAATTGACAAACATTTTTGTTAAACTATATAGTTTACTTTTGTATCGTTGCAGGAAAAACCAAAGAGGATTTTTACGAGAACGAGGAATTCTTTGCAGCTGAGGAACTGCAAGTCGTCGATGAATCAAAAAGACCAAAAGATTCGAACATCTTAGGAAACTCATTCAAAAACCTTGCTATCGACTAATTTTCCGTCCTTATTAGACAAGATTTTAATGTTTAAAAAAATGTTTCTTGACGTTGCAACATAATTAATATACAATTATTATTTTCATATTTATTCCAATTCATGCTATATGTTTATTTTGGATTAATTTGAGTGTTTCAAAATATACTTATATCAAATATTATACTTCCGCTTGATTAGATAAATTTAAAATACTTTCAAAGCGCCCTCTTTTAGGTGATAAATAATTTTTAAAGTTTTGATTATTTTTTTTTTTAAATAAAAATATTTATAACTATATATATAATTAAATTCAATTAAATTACGATATTGAAGAGGATTTAATTAATGCTGGTTTTGTAAGAGAATTGGATTTTGTAGAAAGCAATAATTTTGAAATTGAATGTGATGTGATCAGTTTGGCCACCTGAAATTTGAATTTTTTTTGAGCGGTTCGATGTGAAATTCCCTGCTGCTCTCTCCCTGTAATACGATTTTCCTCAATTGCCAGTGCTGGGGTCAGAAGCAGAGTGTGTGTTGGTGTTGACTTTTCTGGAAAATACAAATTTTATTTTGCGTTTAGTGCGAGCGGAAATGAGCGAGCAAAATCAGGAACTGAGCGTGGAGAAAGTGGAGGAGGCCGAGAAGATCAAGAATGTAGCGAACGAATATTTTAAAAGTGAGTTTTTCTTGCACACTCGTCGGAAACACACGTTCTCTATCTCCGTGGTTCGGAGATGTGTGGACGACGGATGCACGCAGTCTAAATTAAGACGAAATAATTAGACGATCCGATCATGTCGAACGCTACAAAAGTATCACTTCGCTCGATGCCTGCCTGCCTATAACCTAATACCGTTTCAACTTTTGCCCTTTCAACTCATGTTCTTTATGCCGATTGTTACAGAACAGGATTACCAAGAAGCAATAAATTACTATACACAAGCAATAGAGATAAATCCAAGGAATGCCATATACTACGGGAACAGGAGCTACGCTTATCTCAGAACAGAATTTTATGGTTATGCCTTAGCCGATGCATCCATGGCCATTGAACTGGATAAAACCTACATAAAGGGATACTACAGGCGGGCTGCCTCCTATATGTCTCTTGGTAAATTCAAGGAAGCCCTGAGAGATTACGAATATGTAATTGACATGCACCAAACTATCCGAGTGAAACTAAAATGAAAATTTCCAGGTAATTAAAGCTCGACCAAACGATAAGGATGCTAAAAGGAACTACACAGAATGCAATAAAATAGTGAAGAAAATTGCTTTCCAAAAGGCAATCTCAGTGAAGGAGACCAAAAAGAAGGGAGCAGATAGTATTAATTTGGATTCAATGAGTATGTCGATGAATGAAAAGAGAAATGAAAAGAAATTAATGTGTCAACTTTCAGCAATTGAAAACGAGTATAACGGACCTGAACTTGTAGATGGCAAAGTAACTTTACAATTTATGAAAGATCTTATGGAGTTTTACAAGAATTGCGGGAACCTGCATAGGAAATATGCATATAATGTCAGTGAATATTCAATACTGTAGCTTGTTCATAATTGGATCGTTTTGTTTTTTTAGATACTATTAGATGTAAAAGACTATTTTATGGATCAGCCGTCGTTGGTCGATGTGCCTATTGGCGATGATAATACTTTTACGGTGTGCGGTGATATTCACGGCCAGTTCTATGATCTTATGAATATTTTTGCTAAAAATGGTTTACCTTCAGAAACGAATCCATACGTAAGTCATAACTACAGCTGAACCTTCTCAATTGACATAATATGTGTGTGCTTGATTATAGCTATTTAATGGTGATTTCGTTGATAGAGGATCTTTCTCGGTTGAATGTATATTCACGCTGTTTGGATTCAAATTATTATATCCGAATCATTTCTTTATGTCTCGAGGTATTTTGGTTTTATCAAAATCTTTTGCTTATTGGTTAAATGTTAATATTGTAGGCAATCACGAGAGTGCAATGATGAACCATTTGTACGGATTCGAGGGAGAGGTAAAAGCCAAATATACGACACATATGGCCGAGCTGTTCACTGAAGTCTACAACTGGTTACCTTTAGCTCATTGTCTCAATAATAGGGTTGTGGTTAGTTGTTGACGCGATTCGGATGAGATTTATGAGGTATAAATGATTATGTTTTAGGTGATGCACGGTGGTCTATTCTCTCGTGACGACGTAACGTTAGATGAGATTCGGAGCATCGATAGAAATAGGCAGCCCCCAGACGAGGGATTGATGTGCGAACTGCTGTGGTCTGATCCTCAGCCTCAGAACGGAAGAGCTCTGAGCAAGAGAGGAGTCGGATGTCATTTTGGACCAGACGTTACCGCAAACTTCCTGAAGATGAACAATCTGGATTACATCATCAGGAGTCATGAAGTGAAGAACGACGGATACGAAGTTGCCCACGACGGCAAGTGTATAACCGTCTTCTCTGCACCTAACTATTGGTACTTTACAACAAAGAAACATCTTAGGATGCACGCAATAACGTTTTGTTTCTATTTACAGTGATACAATGGGAAATCTGGGAGCATTTATAACGTTGCAGGGCAAAGACATGGTTCCACAGTTCACAAAATATGCGGCTGTGGTAAGTCTCATTCAATTATACTTTAGCTATATAATATTTCTTCAATGTCTGTATGTTTTAGCCTCATCCAAACGTGAAACCAATGGCCTATGCGAACTCATTCCTAAGCATGATGTGCTAGTACTTGCTCATTGAAACGTAGTACCCATGTAGATCAATTTAGAGTTAATTTTTCGATTAGTATTTTTACTTTTCTTTGAAATATTGCGCATTTGCAAGAAGGAAGTACGAAGTCATTTATCATTTTTAGGCCAATTATATTCATAATCGCAACACAAGAACTAAAAACAATTGAGAAAACAGTAATAGAAACATCAAGGTAACAAGGACAAAAATACAAAAACAAATCGAGCGAATTCTATTCAAGACTCGCGGTTTTTCACGTTTTTTTATTTCCTATATCAGTTTACTTCGCTTTTAGTATCATTCTCTGTTTCATTGTTTACTTTAACAGGTTGTCGATTATTACTTTTTCTTGACTATGTTTTCTTTCTGTTTGGTATGTAATTATCGCAAACGACGCATTTATTCGCCCGTTCCGGGCTTCTTGTTTTCGTTTTCTACTTTGATTGTTGATCTAAATTGAGATTCAGGGAACTGCCTAGACAAATTACTACGATGAACCATTATTTGGAAAGCGAATGAGAAAAAAAACGATTTGTTAATAATAAATTTACTAATAATACCAATTCGTTGAACTAAATATATATTTCTCCAATCATTTCTTTTTATAGATCAATATATTTTAATAAAATCTTGGAAAAAAAACATTTTTTTTTAATTAATAACTTTTTGTTCTTAAGTGTTAATAAATTAACTAACGAAAATAATTTTGTTATATAAATTTTTTGTATATGTATACTTTTTAATGGTGCAGATGCAACTTGGGTTGCGTTCTTTTCTCGGAACGCTCTCTTAGTACTCCATCTTAGTTAACAGTGTTGTCATAGAATCCCAAAACTTCACGAATTTAGGTAATTGCGGCTCAATGTTCAAACTAGTAACTTCATTTTGCATTATGATACTACAGCTATGAGGTAATATCAATACGATTTGGAGCACCTCTGATAACTGTGCAGGTTATGGAATGCCGCTCTTCGCTCACCATAGCTTATCAATAATTAGTCGAAAATGGGGCAATAAAAGCGCTGGCAATGCTGTTTTCAATAACAAACGTTGAGACTTTTTCAATACTGTTTACATATATTTTTTTCAAATTATTTATTTTATTTGTTTGTATTTACCATGATTTTCGCAGATATGTCTGATCAGGGGGAAAGCGAAAGTGAGGAAATTATTATTGAAACTGAATGCCTTCTTGATGAGGAGCCTCAGTCCAATACTGTTCTGCTCACAGACCTCAAAACAGAGTTCAAATCTGAGAATGATGATGACTTTACATGGGAGGAAGACACTTTCCAGAGCTTTGACCCACCCACTAAGAAACCAATCAAACAGCGAAAGAGGGCAAATGGTGCTGGTGGCAAAGTTAAGACATCAATTCAAAAGTACAAGAAAGATTGGGAGAATATACCAGAGTTCAAAAAATGGTTGTCGATGAGTCTACTTGGATCTGAATATTTCTATTGCAAGATCTGCAAAGTGGATGCCAAATGCGGTAAGAGTGAAATCATGAGGCATATGACATCCAAGAAACACAAGAAAAATGCACAAGATTCTGTACCAAAAGTAAGAGTTCTTTGGTTCTTCAATTTCAATAGAATTTTAATGGAATTGTTTTAGTTTAAATGCTTTGATGGTCTGCTTTGTCCAGTCTTCACTCCAATTGATCGATTAAGGTATATAATTGTGAATTCCCATGCATTTCCTACACTTCATCCTGCACATATCATTACCACTTTGTTGCAGTTCTATACATTGAGTGGGTATTATTCCCTTATATTCGTTTCTCAACTTGTTTTATTTCTTGTTTTTAGATTTGAGGAAGTCCATTACACGAAAATCTCTGAGTACTCTGATTATTTAAAAAGAAATAATATTAGATCTGTTCTAAGCAAGTTGACCTGATTCATTCTGAAATTGATTCAAAATTTAAATGTTTTTTTCTTTTGTAGTAAATGATATTACTGGTGAGGGCATGTCGTTAACAGTCAGTGAACGTTGTTTGATAACTGAAGAATGGGCGAGAGAAACAAAGAAGAATAAACAATATTTGATGGTGCAAATTGGTGGTGCTCCATTGAAAGAAGTCGTTAGAATGGTAAGTCATATTTTCCAAATATCTGCTAAAGTATAGATACATTCCTGTGCTCATATCCATAGTGTTTTCACATTTCATTGATTTTCTCGAAAACTATAATACATTGAATGAATCAAAAAGATGCATATGAAAGCTGAATGTTTGGGGAATCCAGAATACATTCATGTGCTCTTATCCATATTGCTGTAATACGCGTTCAAA